CCGATCGGACGGCATTCTGGGGGTGAATCGACGAGCTGCCAAGTCTCGTTTTCCTCGATCGCCTTCATCTCCTCCAAAGACGCATCGCCCATCGCCAGTTTCCATCACGCTCGGCTAGCACGAACGTGGGTGGTTCCTCTACACTGACGAGTAGCAGCTCTGCGTTGTTGAGCAGCCTACCCGCTGACACGAGGGACTGTGCTGCGCCGACGATGTCGTCCAGCCTGCGGAACCTCAACTCCTCACCTTCGTGGTAGGCGTCCACGAACTCAGTGATGTCACTTGGAGGTGAGGTGAACTCGATTGGGGTTGATGGAGTTCCTTCTTCCGCCGGAGTGTGCCCTGATAGCTTTTTGAAGTGCTCGACCGCTTATACGGATCGCTCGTCATAACTCCTGCAGTGTTCGGCCACACTATAGGAGTGCCCAGCCTCAGTCTTGGAGTGGTCGGAACCATAGTAAGACGCGTCTTGGCTCCGCCACGCAGAGTGCTCAAGACCCGTCACGAAGTGGTCGCCACCACTGCAGAACCTCCTGGCTCCACTCCTGGCATGCTCGGCATCCCTCCAGAAGTGCTCGACACTCTTCCCGGAGTGCTCGGCATCCCTTCTGAAGTGCTCGGCACTGCCCCAGAAGTGCTCGACTCTACCGCCGGAGTGCTCGGCGCTCCTCCCGGAGTGCGTGGCACCTGTTCCGTAGCGTCTCCACCGCCGTGGATGACCAAGTGCTCGACGATGAAGGTGTTGGTGAAGCCTCCCGCTTCCCCCGTGCTCGGACTGTGCCAGTCCCAAGCTGCCTCCTCGTTGAACACAACGTCGCGCGAGACAGTCACCTTGTCTTCGCGTGGGTCATAGAGCCGGTACGCCTTGGTACCCTCCACGTAGCCCAGGAACATCATGGGTGTGCTCCTGTCCTCTAGCTTGGTGAGGTTCGGCTTCGTCTTCCTGACGTGGCCGATACAACCGAATGTCCGGAGGAATGACACGTTCGGCTTGCTCCCGTACCAAGCTTCGAACGGCGTCTTGCCCGTTAGAGCTTTGGTTGGAGCGCGGTTGAGGATGAACACCGCCGTGGTCACCGCCTCTCCCTAGAACTTTGCCGGCATCCCTTTGGCCTTCATCATGGATCGGGCCATGCCGACCACTGTCTGGTTCCGTCGCTCCACCACGCCATTCTGTTGTGGCGAGTACGGCGCGGTGTGATGTTGCCCCACACCTTGATCCGCGCAGTACGTAGCAAACTCCACCGAGGTGAATTCGCCACCCCGATCAGTCCTCAGTACGCGAAGCTTCTTGCCGCTCTCGGCCTCCGCCCACGTCTTGAACTTCTTGATCGCCACCGCCGCTTCGTCCTTGCTCGTCAGGAGTTGCACCCACATGTAGCGACTACAATCGTCCATGAGTAGGAGGAAGTACCGCCGACCACCGCATGTAGCAGGCGTGATCGGCCCGCAGAGGTTGCCGTGAACTAGCTCGAGAGCTGCCTTCGCGCGATACTTGGCCGCCTTTGGAAAAGGTAGCCTCCTCTGTTTCCCGGCCAGGTAGCTGTCACACAGCTTGCCTCCGTGTTTGATGTGGGGTAGCCCTCGGACCATCTTTCCCAGCCGATCAAGCGCGTCGAAGCTGAGATGTCCGAACCGGGCATGCCACATCCACGGTTCCTCGGAGTGCCTTGCCGCCAGGCAAACCGGCTGCTCTACCTTCAGGTCGAGCAGGTACAACCGGTTCAGGGACCTCTTCACCTTGGCGAGAAGTCGCTGCTCCCAGTCTCTGATCCTCAGAACGCCGTCCTTGATCAGAACCTCGCTACCGTGCTCATCCAGCTGACAAATGCTGATGATGCTGGAACGCTGCTGCGGGATGTAGTATACATCCGTTAGCACGCGGTGCTCACCGTTCTGGCATCTGAAGATGATGGTGTCGCTCCCTTGGATAGCCACCCTTGAGCCGTCACCAAACTTCACCGTACCGGTAACATCACCGTCGAGCTCGGAGAAGGAGTTCTTGGAGCCCGTCATGTGGTTACTGGCACCAGAGTCCAGATACCACCGCTGCTCCTGGTCGACGTCCACATGCCCGAGATGAACTTGGGCGCGTGGTTCATCGAGGTTGACGATCTTCAGGGCCTTCCCAGGTTCTTCCACCGTCGTCGCCTCTTCCCTCTCCATGGCCTCGACGTCGTGTAGTGCACAGAACGTCGCCATAAGGATAGTGGCCTCATCCTCATCATCGGCTTTCGCCAGGTGAGCCTGAGCCTTCTTTTTCTTCTTGCGATTTGGGCACTCCCGTACCCAATGGCCCATCTTCTCGCAACACCGACAGACATTGGAGTCGATTTGCTTCTTCTCCGAAGAAGCCCTGCCGCGATGTTTGCCGTTGCCACCGCTACTGGAGGAGGCTGCCTTCCCGGAGTTTCGCCGAGCAGCCCACTCCTCTTCAGTCAGCAGGAGTTTCCCGCTGTCCTTCATTGCTGTCGCCTGCTCCAGGCGCTCGTCCACCACCCGCAGACGGCCTGCCACATCCTCGATGGTGAGGGTGGACAAGTCCAGCATCGTCTCTATGGAGAGAGCGATCTGGATGTACTTTGCCGGCACGGAGTGGAGAAACTTGGAGACCGCCTCCTCTTCGTCGATGGTGACGCGTGGCTCTTGACTTTTGCCGATGGCGTCTGCTGCAGCGGAGGGAGAAGTCCTCCACCGTTTCACCATCCTTGAACTTGAGTTTGCGTACGACTCGCTTGTAAGCCGGGGCGTCGCCTTCTTTGCTTGTGGTCGGAACCGACGCGCATCGCCGCAATGGCCTCCCACGCCTCCTTAGCTGAGCTCTTCGTCTCCAACGGTTCCCTATACTCCGCCGGTATAGCAGCGAGGATAGCCTCCAATGCTGACATGTCGTCTTCCTCCACGTCGGTGCCCTTGTCAACAGCATTCCAGAGCCGTCGGGCTCTGAGCTTGACCTTTATGGTTACCGACCACTCTCCATAGTTAGTGCGAGTCGTGCGTCGGCCAAGTGGTGTGCTGACCGACCCCCCCGCACCGCGGCGAACAACTACCTCCGGTAGTGGTCGGGCAGCTGGCGATAGCAGCGCCACTGCCATCGCCCAACTCCAAACCGTCTGTCCTCGCCATCGGTTAGAATGACGACGGCGCTTGTACGACTCTGATACCACTTGTTGACCCACAGTTAGCCTCCCAGACCACTAGTCTCACAGACCACTGGCCCCAGACCACTAGTCTCTCAGACCACTAGCCCCAGACCACTAGTCTCCCAGACCACTAGTCTGCCAGACCACTCCGTTGGTCTCACAGGATCACCGGCTCAGGACAGTGAAGCACTTGACGGTCTCGCCGAGCACGCGCTAGTATTGCCGAGCACACACTAGCCGTGCAGACCACGTACCGGCGTTGTCCGTACCCACACACTACGGATCGAGCTAGAAGAAGAAGGAAGAACAGAGCAAGCACGCACAATACAAGACAACAACGTTGTCGGAGGCCCTGTCTGTGTGATGGCAAATCTGAGCTCTCTTTACTGAGTTGTCATACATGTCTATTTATACAACTCTAACTATCTAGTCCATGTGCAGCGCCCATACTGGCACAGTAACTAGATAACTGGACAGTGGCTGACTTCTGCGCCGCGGCCGCTTGCTGTTCCTCTGATCTTTGCAGGAGGTGAGCGTGCGGCGCCGCACCGCAGCTGCTACGTGTATCACAGCAGGGGGCAAAGTCGGCGCCGCCTTACTCTGCTGTGTTCACACAAGGTGGCAGTAGATTAGCTAACACTCATGACCTATGGGGGCACCACGGTCGGCACCTGCGCCTACGGCCCGTACTGGCGCCACATCCGCCGCGTCATCACGGTGCACCTCCTGTCCACTCACCGCGTGAGGTCCATGCTCCCCGCCATCGAAGCAGAGGTGCGCGACATGGCGCGGAGGATGTACCGTGCTGCCGCGGTCGCTCCCGGCGGCACCGGCGGCGCCGCGAGGGTGGAACTGAGGGGGAGGCTGTTCGAGCTCGCCCTCAGCGCCCTTATGGAAACTGTCGCGCAGACCAAGACATCCCGTAGCATGGATGACGCAGACACGGGCATGTCACCGGAGGCCCAAGAGTTCAAGGAGGCGATGGACGTTATGGTTCCGCTTCTCGGCACGGCCAATATGTGGGATTTCCTGCCCATCTTACAGAGGTTCGACGTGTTCGGCGTGAAGAACAAGATCGCGGCCGCCGTAAGCAGCAGGGACGCGTTCTTTCGGCGGCTCATTGACGCGGAGTGGCGGAGGCTGGACGACGGCGTTAAGAGCGAGAACAAAAGCATGATGGCCGTGCTGCTCACTTTGCAGAAGTCAGAGCCGGATAATTACAATGATGACATGATCATGTCTCTATGCTTCGTAAGTTGTAGTATCTATACAACAATGTTCTCTGCTCGCTCGCTTATAAGAAGACGTTCTGCATCTTTATTTGATTTTGCAGTCCATGTTCTCTGCGGGAACGGAAACCTCGGCGACCACGGCGGAATGGTTCGATGTCGCTGCTCCTGAACCACCCCGAGGTCCTGAAGAAAGCACAGGGGGAAATTGACGCGTGCGTGGGGACTTCCCGCCTGCTAGGCGCCGACGACATGCCGCGCCTCAACTACCTCCAGTGCATCCTCACCGAGACGCTCCGGCTGTACCCGGTCGTGCCGACGCTGATCCCGCACGAGTCCACAGCAGACTCCACGGTCGGCGGCCACCAAGTGCCAAGCGGCACGATGCTGTTCGTCAACGTGTACGCCATCCACAGGGATCCCGCGGCGTGGACGGACCCGGCCGTTTTCAGCCTGAGCGGTTCGAGGACGGCAGCGCCGAAGGGAGGCTCCTGATACCTGCCCGTTCGCATGGCTGATAAGTCATAACTAAAAGTATCGTTAAGCGATTTGTTATGAGAGAAAAATATTATTTATTAGGCTGAAAAAGTACGGCTTATAAATCAGGTGAACAGGGCGACCGTTCGGGATGGGGCGGCGCAAGTGTCCCGGAGAGGCCTTGGCGCTGCGGACTCTGGGGCTGGTCCTGGGGACATTGATCCAATGCTTCGACTGGGGCACGGTTGGAGGCGCCCTCAAAGTTGACATGACCGAAGGGTCCGGGCTCACTCTCCCGAGGGCCGTTCCGCTCGAGGCCATGTGCAAACCGCGCCAAGTCATGCTTGATGTCCTTCAGAAGCTGTGAGCGCCTTAATAATCTACTCTGCGCACAGTAGAAGTTGAGCATTATAATAAAATCTCTGTGGGGCTATGTTTATCCCACTTTCAATAACAGAAGATTTACCTATCTATATTTACTCGCAAACGTGTCCGTACATTGCAACGGGACGTATCGTTTGTATCTTCTGTTGTAATATGCTTTAGAGCCAAAAACTTTATACCGTCACAGATCTAATTCATCACGGACTATCAACGATTCCTCGTGGAATCAAGCTTAAACTACCATTCACATAAAGCTCACAGCCCCTTGAGGACATCAAGCATAGCATGGCGCGGCTTGCAGATGGCCTCCAGAGGGACAACCCTCGGGAGCGTGATCCCGACCCCTTCGGCCATATCGACCACGGCGCCGCCGCCGGTGTCCCAGTCGAAGCACTGGATCAACGTCCCCAGGACCAGCCCCAGCGTCCGCAGCGCGAGGGCCTCTCCAGGGCACTTCCGCCTTCCCATCCCGAACGGCATCATGAACAGCCCTTCGGCTCGGCCGTCCTCGAACCGCTCCGGCCTGAACGCGGTTAGGTCCGCCCAGATCGCGGGGTCCCTGTGGATGGCGTACACGTTGATGAGGAGCATCGTCCCGCTCGGCACGTGGTGGCCGCCGACCGTGCAGTCCGCGGTGGACTCGTGCGGGACCAGCGTCGGCAAGACCGGGTACAGCCGGAGGGTCTCGCTGACGATGCACTGGAGGTAGCCGAGGCGCGGCACGTCGTCGGCGCCGAGCAGGCGGGGAGTGCCCCACGGACGCGTCAATTTCCGCCCGCGCTTTCTTCAGCACATCGGGGTGGTTTAGCAGCAGTGACATCGCCCATTCCGCCGTCGTCGCCGTTGTTTCAGAACCCCCAGCGAACATGCTCTGCGAATTAGTAGAGGAACAAAACGCAGAACGGCGTAGCGTAGTCAAGCCGTGAGCGTACGTTGTTGCCGTCACATTTCTATCTGCTACCAGGAGCGTTGCTGTCACTTGTTATCTACTACAGTACCTTCGTACGAATGATATAAATCTAACGTAGTATTAAGTTAAGCAATCTTAAATTTAATCAAATTTCTATAAAACAATACTACTATATAATACTTATCATATATCATATAATAAATTTATATGTATCAATAGACTCTGCCGTAAATATACTTTCACTTCTCCTATATGTCAGATTCTTGCACCCTGTTCGTTTGGGCTTGTTTAGCTTATAAGCCGTACTTTTTCAGTCAATGAACAGTGTTTTTTTCTCACACCAAATCAGCCAACAGTGGCTTATCAGCCAAACAAGCCCAAAAGCGAACAGGGCGTTGATTGTTTTGTTGTTGTTCAACAAATATTTTTGTCATTGTGTAATATAAAAAAATATGAATTGCCTCTTGTGAGTTGTTATTTTAATTATACTATTAGTTTTCTAGGATTGTTGTTTGAAAATTTAGGTCTGGTCAGTTGCTTGTATTAGCCTTATTTGATATTAAACCTTATGCAGCATAACCTAAGCCAGCGTAGACATATGCAGTGTCTTGGCATTTGGTAGTTTTGACAGACAGATCATATTTGATAAAACTGTGTTTGGTTGTTTACTCTTGGTTGTGTAGTACCTTTACGTTTTAGTTGAGGTCTCGTGTTTCTAGTAGAAGTATGGGGTGAGAATATTTCATCTTTGTATGTGTATCGATTTGTGCACACTTGTGTTGTCTAATACTCCCTCTGGTCTATTTTATCTGGCGCAAGTTAGAATGACACGATATCTTAGATTACACTTTGACCATTCATTTACTTTATATTATATTATTTATGCTTATAAACTTATAATCATTGGATAGTATAATTTCTTATAAATCTAGTCATATAAAGTTTGTATTATAATATTTAAAAATCATTAGCCTAATTGTTGGTTAAAGTTTTAAAGTTTGAATCTTGATATGTATGTGCGTCGGATAAAATGGACTCAAGGGAGTACAACCAAATCTAGCATTCATTAGCTAATGCAGTATTGGGTATGCTTTGGGCATTGTGCAAGCTTGCATAAGAGCCTATACAAGAAACCAAACGTAGGCCCATTCACTTCGTTGAAAAAACAAGCCGAAACACTGTTCCGACTGATTTGTTGTGAGAAAAAATATTATTTCAGCTAAAAAAATAAACTGAAAAAGATAGATTATAAGAGAAGCGAACATGGCCATAGCTTAATGGAAACAACTAATCGAAGTCATAGTAACTCAAATATTTTATGATGTATATATATTTGTGGTCATAAATGTTTTATACTAACTTTTATAAATTTAGTTAAAATTAAAATTGTTTGACTACTAAACCTATAATTGTATTTCTTTTTAGACGGAAGTAGCAAGATGATAAGACACGTCAACGTTAGCGATATGACATGCTAACGTACTAGCTTTTGGTGCACAGTAGTACTAGCACCATGGCGCCACACACTGCGCACAACATGCTCCCACGCACATCAACATCAGCTTTACTGGTGGCTGCCGATTTTTGGATAAACGTTCCTACAAAAGGCAGTGGATTTAAGTGGCTACAACTTTAATTTATTCCTCCATCTCAAAATAGAAAGTCGTTATGGAATACGTGTAGATCAAACATTCTTAACTTTGATTAGATTTATAAAAAATACGAGCAACATTTATATCTTCAAATAAGTTTATTACGAAACTATATTCAACGATCTATCTAATAATACTAATTATGTATTATAAATATTAATAATTATATATATATATTTGGTCAAAGTTAAAAGTGTTTGACTTCTTGGGAAGCGAGAATGACATCTATTTTGAGACGGAGGAGCACGCCAATGTTCTCAATTTGACCCAGCATCAACCAATCTCGTATTCAATTACTGCAAGAATTGAAACTGTAGCAACGAGAGTGGAAATGGCCAGTGCAAGAAGAACAAAGACGAAGAATCACTCACCGAGCACAGAGCCATGATCGTGGTATCCGTGTACACCACCGGCTCTGACTTCTGCAATGAGAGCATAACGCCAATCATGCTCTTTCTCTCGTCGTTCTCGCCGCCCTCCCCCTCCTCCAGCCTCCGCCGCTCCGCGTCGATGAGCCGCCGTAGGAACGCGTCCCTTGCGCTCACCGTGGCCAGGATCTTGTTCCTCACGCCGAACACGTCAAACCACCGTAGCACCGGCAGGTAGTCCCACGAATTGTCTGCACTGAGAAGCGGAAGGAACACGTCCAGCGCCTTCATGAATTCCTGGACCTCCGGACACATGTCCGTGTCGTCGTCCGGCACGGCACGGGACGTCTTGGTTCGCGCGATGGTTTCCATCAGGGCGCTGAGGGAGAGCTCGAACAGCCTCCGCTTCAGCTCGACCCTCGCGGCGCCCGGTGGGGGGGAGCGATACATCCTCCGCGCCATCGCGCACACCTCGGCGGATATGACGGGGAGCATGCAGCTGCACCGTGGCGACACGGCGGATGTTGCGCCATTACGCCCTGTAGCGGCACATCGGGAGAGTGGCACCGCCGAAGGAAACAAGCAGCAGCGTGGGGAAGCGCGGGAGGTTCACGAAGCAAACGTCATTCTCGGTGAAGCACTCTGTGGCGCAAGCCGCGGAGGACACCACCACGGCTTCCCGGAGGGAGAACACCGGCCTGTAGCGCTCCACGAGGCGAGCGAGCGCCGCGTGGATCGGCTTCTTCCCTAGAAGGTGGAGGTGACCCAAGACCGGGATGGCGGGAGGGCTCGGTGGCAACTGCGTTCTCTTGTTCTTCCCATTGATCCTGCGGCGGTGGCAGCCGAGGAGACGGTGGAGCAAGAAGAGGAAGAGGAAGAGGAAAGAGAGGATGGCGATATTGTTGGAACTGGTGACCACCGAGTTCTCGATCTTGGAGTTGGCTTACGTTATGAGCCTGTGCTCCCACAAGTCCCAGGTGACTAGCCTGGTAGGTGGAACTGTCTCCCACCTTATATGTTGTGCTCTCCCACCATCTCTCCCACCATCGCTACATGATATGGGATTAAACCCCAATAATCTCTCCCTTAGTCACACATCGGGTGCCCCCGCCATATATGTGACGTTCGAGATTTTTTTATCGGGTTTAGCTTTTTTTTTTACCACGGGCTCTGATACCAATTGTTGGAACTGGTGGTGACCACCGAGTTCTCGATCTTAGAGCTAGCTTGCAGCCGGCCTGGCTCGTTAGGGGCCTGCGCTCCCACAGGTCCTAGGTCCATCGGAGCTACAACATATAAGACCATGGGCTTTACTTAACCCAAAAGACTAGCCTGATAGGTTGGACTGCCACTACCTTATATGTTGTGCTCTTCTACCGTCACTACTCGATGTGGAACTAAACCCGCTCCATGGATTCCCGGTCTTGGGAGTAAACGACTAACGAGTGAGCTTTCTCAATTCTCTGAAACTTTTTTATGTGCTTCCTGTGTTGCAAAACTGATGGATCAGGCACTGCCTCACCGTACAATTTGGCATTTAGTTTTGAGTACGCAATCCCTGACGTTAGTGGAAGTTCCTCATTTAGCCACGTGTTATAGTCTTCTAGAAGCCGTAGATTTTCTATTAGAATATGTAATATATTATTGTGATAATTGCAATAACAAATATATGTAATGCTAGAACAAAAATGATCTAAGAGTATGTCAAGTTCCACTAAATTGGATACCTATTTTTTCATACCAGTCCATCAACCCATGGATTAAATATTTATGATAGTATTACACTTATGATAGTACCACAACTAATCTTATAAAGAGTTAAACACATAAGCAGTCTTATTTATGTCCCTAAACTCTCGAAACATATCCTTAGGTCTTCGAACTTGTCCTTATGTGTAATCTAGGTCACAAGCTCTTAAAATGCTATGTTTGGATCTCACACTTATCTTAGAGTGCTATTGAGCTCTCTGAACTTATCCACACCTCATTCTTGACCGTAATGGGAAAACACTAGTAAAGCAGTCATCGACCTATCTCTTCCACCTAGGGAAGCACTATCTTTGGCCTTGTTACCTTCACTACTAAGGACATAGGACTTATTTGGACCTGAATGACACCCTAAGAGCAACTCCAAGAGATTGTGTAAAATAAAAGCCTAAAATCCATAATTTAGCCATTCTCCAAAATAGAGCATCCTCCAAAAGAATAGAGTAATGCAACAACCTTTCTAAATTTCTCATTATCTATTTTTTAAAGCTGACATGTCAAGCTGAGATTGGTTCGCTCCCCCATTTTCTGTACTTTCGCCATTTGCATGCACACCACCAGGCAGACGACGAGCCTTCATGGCATGCTATTTTTACCCAGCGAGAAGTGTAGGATTGATGACTTGTTATTTTGGAAAGCTTGATCGAATAGCTGTTGGAGCCATGATTCTTCCAAAAATACCTAAAATAGCATTTCACAACACAAATGGCTACTCTCTTGGAGTTGCTCTAAGACAAGTTGTGTGACCTGAAATGGTATTTTGACATTTTAGACTTAGATGTGACACCCAAAACAAGTTTAGGAGCTACCCATATATTTAATTAATCTAAATTACTTTTTTGTGCACGCTCTCTTTGTGCATTTTCTAACGCAAAGTAATATAATCTATATGTGTTGTGACGAATTACGATTACTTCATATGTTTTGTCCATTCGTATCTATAGCTTTTCCGTCTCCACATGGCACTCCATGTGTGTCTTCAAGATGCATGCATTCATTTAAAACCGTTATGATGGCTTTTGTTGTAGCCTATGTCTCTTGACGATGTGAATCTAGATTGACTTTCAAACTTTAACCCTTGATAATTGGTATAATAATTTTATCCACGTGTGTTAGGTTGAAATTTTTGTTCTTATTGTATCTTCTATTAGAAAATATTCTTTTGTATTTTATTAAAAATGGTGACTTAGGTCATATATTGCACTCTTAATAACTATGGCGGCACATAAATTAAATTATGTTTTTTAATTAATTTGTTAGTGGTAGTGATGTCTATGTAGTAATTAATAAATAGACATAGGATTATTCCTGGTTACTTTTTCATAATGGCTTTGATGGGTAGTTTGTATATAGTTATATGGTCAATTTGCTTTCATTTTCCTCTTACTTAACATGGTGGCTTTAGACTTTGAGAGCGGATACGGTGGCTCATTTTTTTGTTAAAATATTGAGTGCAAACTAGGTACCCAGTGCAATCCTAGAAAACTTAATTTCATCCGTTGTATGCGAAATGGATGGCAAGACGAGCTCCAAAACCCTCATCACACTTTGCGATTAACTCCCCCATGCTCGACTTGGAACATTCACTGGAACACACAAAAAAAACTCTGGGCTGCGAGGGAGCATACACCTCCCGAGATATTTAGCTTAAGGTAGAGGACTCTCACCTCAGCCCGACAAAACCCCGAACCCTGACCCATGTCCCGCCTGCACACAGGGGCAATTTACCCAGTGAGTGGGCAAACCCCTGAACCCCATGTCCCGCCCGCACATAGAGGCTCGTTACCCAGTGAGTGGGCGGGTCCTTTTACCTATGCTTTGGAAACACGGAACAGACGAGAGAAATTTTTAAACCTCCGACCCCAAGATCGCCACCGAAGGGGTTCGAACCCAGGTCTGCAAGGTGGGAGCCGGACATCCTCTCCGTCTAGACTAGGAGTCGTTCCCAATCATTGGAACACCATGATCGATGGAATATTAACACGAAACACTCACATCTAACCTCTTTGACCTATCATAGTCCGCTGCACTCATCTAATATGACTGCCCCTAAATCTATAATTACAATGAACTATGGTTTAGTAACTTATAGGATTTTCATTTAACAATGATGGCTGGTGGTGGCGGCAGTGAACACTTCTATTGTAGTCTAGATTGCGATCAATGTCTTGCCACAGCCTTGCTTGTGGCTCATAAATTTGACTTTTCTCTATCTCTACAACTAAAAACATTTGCATACCAATCGTCCACACGCTGTAAGATGCCTTGCTCGCTCGCTCTCTTCCCCTGGCACGCGCGCGTGATCTCCTCCTCCTCGCTTCCCCCTGCACGTGATCTCCTCCCCTAATCACGTGTTCTCCAATCACGTACAGAGAAAGCAGCGCCTCCAATCACATACAAAGGAAGCAGAGATCCACGACATCCTTCTTTCTCCAAATACTCCACCTAGCGCTGAGCCAATCTTCGTAGAAACCAACGACAACTACCGCCGCCAACGTTCGCGGAAACCACCGACGCCTGCCCTCCTCTTCATGCCCGACGCCGATCGAGAGATCGCGGCAATCCGCCGTCGAGGGAGAGACGAGGACAATCTCATCCTCGCCCTGTGCACGCCCTCCTCTTCACGCTCGATGCCAAGAGGCCGCCGCAACAGAGAGGATCAATCGAAGATGGTGAATGGCACGTCATGGCCCACGGCGACGAAATCGAACACCGCCGAGAGCTCCACTGCCACCAAGCTCCAATCCAAGTCCAACATCTCCTCCCTCCCTTCCCCTCTCTCACGCTCGTGGCCTATTGCTAAATCCCTTCTTACCTCCGGTTGATGTGTTTCTGAATCTTCATCAACTAAACAGGAGATTTACTGACTGTTGTAGCCAAGTTCGGGCAGCACAAAGTGGCAACAAGTTTTCAATATGACATTTGAAGAAGTGTCCACTGTTTCAGGTATGTGTATCAGAGCGATTCTCATTCATCTCATAGATCAACTGATTGTACGATGACATGCTTGTCTCAATGGTTGTCCTAATCAAGGTGTCAGCTGGTTCATGGAAACATGATAGTTGACTATGCACAGGATGGCAAAAGAATACGAAGTCACTTCGTAATCAAACTATTGACATACAAAGGAAATTCAAGACAAACTTTAATTCCTAAAGAAGTGCAAAGAAGTGCAAGCTTATCTTTTCGTATCATAGACATGAAGTGATATAGTAGGTTCTTACATTATGAACAATATAAAGTTGGTGTTTTAGTTTTGCATCAAAATTTGGAGTTATATTTTAACTATCTATCTTTCTTGAAGACTTATGTAATATCGATGTTCTAAACATCACGATTGCAGTATCCATTTTAGGTAACAGTATAACACATGCTCATACATATGTTATCGTGGTATTATGTGTTCTCGTTGCAACGCACGGGCATTTACCTAGTGACATAAAAAATCAATGCAAGTTGAGTAACTAATTTTGTTTTGGGTGAAACAAAGCCATTGAATCTATGAATTAGACTTTGCAATCTTGTTTAATTATTATTTTCTTGCAGGATTCTAGTGGATGAGGATATTGGATCAGGGAAGGCTTTTTTGTGCAAATATTCTATCAATAGGGTGTTCCATGCGAGTGTTCCAAGTGAAGCGGTGAGGATTAACCGGAGTGTCATGAAGGTTTGGGAGCTCATCACTTCCCATTTTACTTCTGATGGATGAGATTCAGGTTTCAGGATTG